GGGTCAGAGAAGGCTGTGGGTGCAGAAGCCAAAGTGATTGATTGGTGAGCAGATGGATGACACCGCCTACCCTTCTTTGGCCCCCCCTCTACCCCAGAGCAGGGGGGCCCAAGTCGTCAAGTCATGTGATTGGTTGATCGTGCACAGTGAAGTTCCCTTTTTTGTGTGTGTGCATATGTATGTGGGTATCATTTTGAGACTACGTACAGAACGACCGAGATCGCTTTGAGGAGCGGCGGTGATTGGTCCAAGAAAGAGCTTGGGACATTCGACCGGTTGATTGTCGGTACGTACTGTGTGGGCCGATGAAGCTTCGTCCGATCGAAACAGAGGAGAGTTCTTCTTCGCCGGAAGATGAAAGGTTATACGTTTTTTTGTCGTCGATTCCAGGAAGGATCGATGAATGGTCTAAGTGCATTTGACCGCAATTACGGTCCGATTACCAATCATCCTATACATTTGTTCCCAACGTTTCGTGCGGCTTGCGTCTTTTGCTTGTTAAGGGGAGGGCGGCGACGGCAATTGACTTTGACTTTGTTTATATCACAACAGTTTTGACTTCTTCGATTAGTTTGACTGGTAGTGACAGAGGATTTGAATCTGCAGTGTGACCTCAGATTTGACTTTGACTTTGGCCGCGCTCAGAGGCAATCGTTGCGTCAACGCCATTTGACTTGTTCATCTCAACAGTGCAGAGTACTATATTCCTTTGACTTGACAGCGCTCGCCAGAAGAATTCTGCATCCTACAGGATGATTTGGACCCGTGACCTCAGCTGCGTATCAGCGACACGGTTGGGCAGAGGATGGTGCAGACTCTACAGGATTTGAACCCGTGACCTCAGCTGCGAATCAGCAACACGGCTGGGCGGAGGATAGTGCGGACTCTGCAACCAGTGACCTTATGGTTGGGCGGAGGATAGTGCAGAGGCCAGGCGATTTGAACCCGTGACCTTACGCTTGGGTGGAGAATAGTGCAGAGTCTACAGGATTTTGACCTGTGGCCTCAGCCGCGTATCAGCGACACGGTTGGGCGGAGAATGGTCGTTAAGTCAACAATTGCTGGCCATCTTGTGTTGGGGGTGTCATCGACAGTCGTCAACGATCTCGTCCGTGGTTCAACCAACGATCTTTTCGGTGGTCTAATCAATGGAGCCAAGGACCTTTTTCGGGGTCTAATCAACTGATTGCCAACGATCTTGTTGGGGGGGTCTAATCAGCGGTCGTAGGTGTTTTTTTTTGGATTTGGTGGTCCAATCAGCTGTCCTTTTTCGGGGTCTAATCAACTGATTGCCAACGATCTTGTTGGTGGGGTCCAATCAGCGGTCGTAGGTCAAATCGATGGTAGTCAACGATCCTGGTGGTGGTCTAAGCAAATGGTGCTGACGATCTTGCTGGGCGTGTAATCAACGGTCGCCAACGATCTTGTTGGGGTTCTAATCAACGGTTGAAGGCGCTTGGTCAGGATCAAAT